AAACTGGAAGTGGTGCTGTAGCTCAAGTGGTAGAGAGCTTGCCTTGAGCTGAAGAGCTGAAGGACAGTGCCCAGACCCAGAGTTCAAGCCCCACGATCGACAAAAAAAAAAGAAAAGAAAATACTAGGCAAGGAAGTGTTGCTGTGGCTCAAAGTGGTAGAGCCCTAGCATTGAGTGAAAAAGCTCAGGGACAGTACCCAGGCCCAGAGTTCAAGCCCCACGACTGGCCAAAAAAACAGAAACAAGACCAAAATACTACCTAAAAGCATAATTTCCAGCTCCATTATAGATCTCTTTGTTGTTGTTGGTAGTGGTGGTGGTGGTTGTGGGGCTTAAACTGGGAGCCTGGGCATTATCCCTGAGCTTTTCTGAACCACTTCCAGTTTTCTGGTGATTAATTGGAGATAAGAGTCTGACACAGACTTTCCTTCCTGTGTTTGCTTCAAACCTTGATCCTCAAATGTCAGCCTCCTGGGTACCTAGAATTACAGGTGGTAAACCACCAGCATCTAGCTTCCATTATAAACCATATAACAGTGTCATTAACCAAAATTTTTCTAATATACAACATTGGATTTGATACCTCCTCTCCTTTCCTGGATTATGCCCTGAGCTATATATTAGGGTGGTAATTGAGAGATTATTAAATAAGAGACCAGCATTTATAAGGGAACAGATTGTAAGCACAACCTTGATCATTTGACTTCATTTTTTATTTATTTATTTATTTTGTTGGTCATGGGGCCTGAACTCTGGGCCTGGGCGCTGTCTCTAAGCTCTTCAGCTCAAGGCTCGTGCTCAACAACTGGGGCCATAGCACCACTTCCAGCTTTTTCTGTTTATTTGGTGTTGAGGAATCGAACCCAGGGCCTAATGCACGCAAGGCAAGCACTCTACTACCGAGCCAACTTCCCAGCCCTTGATTTTATTTCTTTTTTTTTTTTTTAATTTTATTTGTGAACATACTGTACAGAGGGGTTACAATTACATGGGCAGGATAATGCGTACATTTCTTACCAAGCATTGCAGCCTCCTCCTTTGGTTTACCCTTCACATCCCTTCCCAGCCTCCCCCCTCCCCCCTTGATTTTATTTCTTGTTGCACTGTGTTGGGCACACTGTGTTCATTCTGTTGTCCTATCCACTAGAGACCTAAAAAGATTCAATTTGTGCCAGAACTCCAAAGCAGTTCTATTTTCACTGAGGTATTCATTCTTTTGTTCTTTTCCTGAAAGTACTATCTTAGACACAGTATAAGCAGCCTCTTTTACAAAGTATCTTTTCAGGTACCTGATCCTTAAAGCTGGAACTCTGAGATACTCATCATTTTGAGGTTGTTTCACATACCCAACAAAGCTCTCTAAAGGAAATAAAGAGGTTTTGTGGTCTTTAACATTTGAGCTTTTCCTTCACACCTTTGTTATGATCTAAAGTTCTAATATGGAACCTTGATTTGTAGGTTTTGCAGGCTTGGGAAGAAAATTCATACATTTTACTATATTCTACTTAAATTCATACATTTTACTATATTCTACTTATTTGAGAAGATTGTTTCTGCTACAAAGGGAGCTTACATTATTGCAGGACCTCTTTGCAACAGCAGGGGTTTGTGTGAACATCACTGGTTAAATTCATCTATACAAAGAGCTGCTGTGGGCTGGGAAGGTGGCTCAGTGGTAGAACGCTTGCCTTGCATGCCTGAGGTCCTGGGTTCGATTCCTCAGCACCACATAAGCAAAAAGAAAAAAG